GGAGTGACATATATATAGTCTCTAGGATACTTAACAGTAGTTCTTTATTTGTCTTCTGGCTTCCCAGTATCTCTGGGTTTCTGTCGTTGTCTTTAGGGCTGGACACCGAATCAGGTGGGTCTTCTCCATTTTCTCTTGCAGGTCACATAGGGGACATGCTGGTTGAGCGTAAACTCCTATTCTGTGAAGGTGCTTAGCCTGGCAGTCGTGTTCGGTAGGCAGTCTAAACTCTGTGGCAGCTTCGTTTCTTGGCCAGTCGGATATTTTGGAGAGTGCCGCTATCCACTGACTCTCTTTTGTTCGATTTTTAAGTTCGTTGCTTCTTGAAGTCTTGAATTCTCTTCTGATTATGGCCTTCATTGTATAAAATGACATAGGCTGGTCTCTGCCCATCCAAATCGTGGTCTCCTACATGCAAGTGTGTCAGCTTGATCATTGTCCATAATGCCATAGTGTCCAGGGATCCATTGAAGATCTACTGTTTTGTTTTTTTTGCAGTAATTGGTACAGATTTTACAATAGCGTATCTCTGTTGTTTTAGGTGGTTCTCTATTTTCAAATGAATTTATTGCTGACGGGGAGTTCGAAAGAATTACTGCTTTGATGAATTTCGTACCCAGGCAGCATAATTGGTCTAGTGCCATCTTACTAACCTCTATTTCTCCTTCGAACGCGGAACTATTTTGTCCCACTGCTGCGAAGAAAAAGAATAGTTCAGAGTAAACACATGCACCAACGTTTGTTTGGTCCTCTACGTGTGATCCGTCAGTAAGGACCTGGAGCCATTGATCTTCATGATAGTTTGCATTGATTGTCTCAAGGGCCAACAAGCGCATTGGATCTGGAGGGAAATCTGCTTTCTGAAATGGCCAAGAAGTTGGGTACAAAATTGTGGCAATGAGCACATTTGTTCTGGAGGGGTATTTACTTTCCTGAAATGGTCAATTACCTGGGTGTAACATTGTACATCAGTGTCTGCTCATGGCTTTTGGGGTATGGAGAGGCTTATTGGTTTGTCAGCAATTTGTAATGCTTTCTTTAGTTCTATGCCTTTCTATATTAGGTCGGATTGAGTTTTAGGTGTCTTTGTCTATTTTCGTAGGTGCTGAAGAATGTGTCTCTGGGAATGCGCAGCAGCTTCTCATAGAAGTCCATGGCCTTTTCTTTGATAAAGGAACACATTGTGGTGTTTCCAGTCACCAGGTGCATTGCATCAATGTATGCTGATTTTGCCCCTCCAGTAATAAGTCGTAATTTCTGGTTGTGCGTCTTCTCGAGTGGTTTGAGAATTACCTCAATGGCCGTAATGAGTGGCTCGCGGAAATACCGCATTATTGGTTGGACAAACATCTAATAGAACGATAATGATAATGTGGAAATCTGAAGATATTCTGAAGTGTTTCGAATTTAGTTCATAAGATACTTCTAGATTCCCCATACTCTTCCAGTAAGTATTAAAAATTTCTGACATCTGATTAAACATCTGACTACATTGACCATTTATTGTAACACATCTTTCATGCTGAAAGAGCTATCAATGTAATGTTTGTTTTATTCGTTTAGCGAATGGCCTTTGAAATATGCCGACTAGTGATAAAAAACCCCCCGACAGTTAGGTGAAAACCCTCTCTTCGTTGATTAATTCTTCATGGAACATCTCGCTATCTCTGAAGCATCAGTGAAACCGAAACGGGACTGCTGAAAAAAGAGAGAGAGAGAGAGGGAGACAGAGGTATAACGTCGAGCTTATTACTTTCCCGGACCTCTCCGACAAGCTTTGATGTCATCACTTCGAAACGAGACAGAACATGCAAAAGTTTCTTCCCCACCGCTAAGGGTAAAGATGCATCACACAGGCACAGTGAAAATGACATTGGGCACCCTTTAAGGTAAATCCTTCCTTTCAAGGATAATTTGAAGAGTGATTAGCAGCTTGGCATTACTTTGTTCATAAATAATCGGTACTTTGAGTTAGCTCATTGATTGAGTGTTTGGAGGTCATTCCAAAAAATGCTAAGGTGAAATTAGCTCATAATTGCAGTTAAAGGCTCGTACATTGATATTGTTCAAGCAGTGATTGAAAAATTTCGTCAGCTCTTCAATAAATGCCTTCAAGATGGATATCATTTTTTTCAAGCCAGAGAATAGGAAGAACTTGAAGGTATAACTACGAGTGATTGCTATAATTTATTTTAATTTATCTGGCTGATTGCCGTTACATTATACTATTAAGGGTTTAAGTCCCCAGAAAATTATTTAAATGATTTGTACACATAATAATACAAAAGAATTGTTTAATTTCAAACTGTTCATGCAATAGGAATTATGTGAATGAATTTTAATTCTGATATGCAATCTTCACTTAAGTCAAGGCTGCCAAAAGATTAAATCTCCTATCAGCTTACGCGGGTTAATGAAGAAAAAATATATCTTGGTGGGCACTGATGGAATGATCCATTTGATCAAGAATTTCAATTAGAATCAAATTGGAAAAGGAAAGTTTAATTTCTCCTGTGCGACATTTCTGATCATGATTTGTGACTGAGCACATCACACTTCATTTCCGCTTTTGAGTAAAGCAAATGCTCATTTCTAAGCTTTGACTTTATAATAAATAAATATACAAACGGATTTTTGAATAGTTTCGAGATCAAACATACAACCGCGTGGACCAGCGGCTGGAACGCGCTATTAATGGTTCAAGCCTTAGAATATTGTAACAATTAAATACTTTAATAGGATTTTATTAATCTGACGGAAGTTTCTAATTACTATTACGGATAAATTAACCATCCCAAGTATAGCTGAGCTGCACCGACCCCGACAACAAAGGTGGTATAAAAATCGTCTTGAAAGCATTTTATCATTAAATAATTGAATTTTCTCATTGAGATTGCATCACATCATTGTTCACTCCATTGGTTCGAGATTTAATATGACAATCGTCCCTTTAAAAAATTAGGACAGAAAAAATTGGCTGATTTCAACTTCATATGCAAACTATTTAAATAGGGTTTCTGTCACATTTTCTTTGTTATCTCAGTCCGGTTTAATTGCACTTATAAACCTCTGATCGTTCTCACTCACAATCAGATTGGTATTTGGCGAAGACTGTAACTTGGAGCTGCGATAAAAAAGCAAGGCAGTAGTAAAGCGGAATCAAAAAGGTGAAAAAACGTGTTCGTTACTAGCGCCCTCCATGCCCCAAACAGTCGGTAGGCTTTGAAGTTTTCGCGAGAGTAGTTGGGAGGTAAAAAAAGACCCTCAACTTACCCACAGCATGGCTTGCCATGCCAAAGTTGCAATAAATAAAAAATGAAAAATTGTAGTGTAAACAGCACTTTTTGTCGCATTTATAGGAAACAGAAGTGTCCTATTAGATCCCAACTATTACTTGCAATTAAATTGCCTTCTGGCTGTTACATAATGCTCAAAAACACGTGATATTATAATAGTTTTCATTCTCATGGGGATTCAAGTCTCAACTTGCAGAATAATTAATAAAGATTCAAAGGATAGGAATAAGTGCGATTGGAAATTACCTGTTTGCGAGAAAAATAAGATATTAGCCATATAAATCATAAAATGATGCCAGTCTTATCTACACTTCCTTCAGAGTAAATTAAGCAGTCCATTTTTGAATATATTGAGCACAATAGCATCGACGAATCTGGAAGCCAATTACTGAAATTTGAACTTCATATCACCTCAAAATGTCCTCTTCTTATGAGAGCATGGAAAGCTCAATGCTCCCAAATTCAATTAAAGTAAAATTTCTGTTCCAGATCCCTCAAACTCCGTTTCCAGTTAGTAGTAGGCTCCCCTTGGTTTCATATCTAATTATTCGTTTGTTTTATTTCATAGCTTTCAAAATCTTCCTCCTAAGTAAACAGTGTCATTTTTTTCCTGACATTGACGATTAATAAATGCCTTAAATTGTGTTAAATACTACGCCTATTCAATTCAATCTGGTTTTTTTATACTGGTCATATTGAAAAGTATGATATCTTTTTAATGGGGTATGAGGTTTGATTCATAGATTTTTGAGCTGACAGTTCAGTGGTCATTTCACAAACGAATATCTAACTCCTATCATGATAGTAAATAAGATAACGCAAAACAAGGCAAAACAAATTTTATTAAATATTCAGGGAAAGGGATCTAGATACCTAAAGCAAAAGTCAAACGTTTGGTGAATATATTTGAACCCAATGCGAAAAAAGAGCATTTTTGGGAACATTGGAAGGGTGGAAATTGAATTGCGACTGAAAAAAAAGAACCTGATATTTGATGTTAAAAAGTGTTTTTTTAAACATCTTTTCCCATAAACGTAGCAAAGCCTTGGTGAGCATGTTTGTGTTTTAAAATGCTTTTTACTGAAATATATTTTCAAAGCTCTCTGAAACCCAATCCCAGCACATTCACCAAACTAATTGATGTCCACCGACAAATTCAAATAACTTTCAAAAGAGACGAGGATGTATTCGAAAAAAGAAGACGCCATCTAGCCTTTACCTCCTGCATTTTCCCAATTGTCGAAGCTTTGAAGACACCGCTAGCCAAATCATGAACACACTTTCATCAGACCCAAAAAAAGTGAAGTAGCATATCCACATCTGAGCATGAGGTGCAAAAAATGAGGAAAGGCTTTTTCGGGCTGAAAAGATTTGGCTTTGAAGATTTTGACGGATTCTACCGACGAATGCACCAACGCAGAATTCCGTCTCAAGCGTGCAAGAAAGATGGTTAGAAAAAGGCAGAATCTACCTAATGTGATCTACGGATTCTCTAATGAGATCATTAATCTGCCCATAGTGCTATTTGAATTTTGTCAGGACAGGATTTAGAATAAGAATTATAACGGTGCAATATGCCATTCAATACGCCGCTGACTTTCGGAAGCATGGTTTTGGTTCCTTTGATGACTTACTTAAGCTCTTACAGTATTCATGTTGTATTATATTTATTTATTTATTTCAAATGGCAGGCGTTTTGATAGATATCATTAGCCATTTAGCTGACTTCGGGCTTCACAGAGGGAAGGTTCATCAAAGTAGCAGAAAGTCGAGGGGTGGGGAACAGAAGAGCGATTCACAGATGTAAAAGAGGCAGACAGACACAAAGGTAGGGAAAAAGGTAAGGTGAGTACTGTGAAGGGGATCGTAGTAGTTTGAAGTCAGAAGTCAAATGCCGGTTAATAGACTTTTTCCCGTATGAGTATACGTTGCCCAGGGCGTACCACGTGGGGGGGGGGTGGATGTTGTATTATATAAGGCAATGATTACGAGGAAGCCACTCTGACAGATACCGACTTTAAGGAAGACTAAAAATGTCGGAGTTTTCAAATAAATGGACATTAAATTAGGTTACGCATTGCATGCTTGAAAGAAAGTAATGTTGATCATTAATATTAATACTAATAATAGTATTAGTTTAAGATTTTCTTTTCACCTTTAAGGGCAATAAGTACTACCACTGTATTATTTTTCTCGAAGTTTCAATGAAAATATGCTGAGATACAAAGTTTACAAATAAGGTGTTTTGAGTACCTTTGGAAAGCAAAATAAGTTTAAGATAAGAAGACATCGCTTTAACAATCTGTCAGTGGAATTCCTCTGGCGTTTTAAGTTGCAATTTGAGTTTAAAATTTTGGTTTACGCGAAAGCTGCATTTCTATTTGAGAGTAAGAGAGAAAATTGATTGGTGACAATTGCGTTGATTTGCATGAAAAGTGATTTGAATTCGCTCATTGCTGTAATTGACTGCTTCACCTACATGCGGCTGGCAACTATTACGCGACTTACAAGCTCATCGCAAAATCTGCTCACGATGTGATTGACTTATTTAAGTTGGGATTAAGTCATATTAAACACATAGGAAAAGTTGGGGTTAGAAGTGTCGGCATTTGAAAAAAATGACTCACCCATGTCCTTACTCTAATTTTTAAAGAACTAGACTTTTTACAAGTTAATTAATTTACAACATAATTTCATATTTCTCGAATAGATCAAAAGTATGCCCATAACTAGAGTTAAAGGCCTATGTTTCTGCCTTTTTATAGTCTTTGAAAGAAATATTGTATTCACAACTAGATATTTATTGATTTATTTCAATTGGCAGGCTTTATGATAGTTATTGAGTTGGTACGTGTTACCCTTATCGGTATTGGAAATTTGAATTTTTACAACAAATGTAACATTTTATTTTATTTTTATATGGGGTGTGCGATAAACTTACCTTCACGTGGTGCACCCTGGGCAACGTATACTCATACGGCAAAAAAGTCTATTAACCGGCATTTGAATTCTGAATTCAAACTACCACGACCACCCTGGTTGTCATAGTCGACCCCTTCACAGTACTCATCTTACCTTTTTCTCTGCCATTGTGTCTGTCTGCCTCTTTAACATCTATGAATCGCTCTTCTGTTCCCCACCCCTCGACTTTCTGCTACTTTGATAAGCCTTCCCTCTGTGAAGCCCGTAGTCAATTAAAGGGCTAATGATAGCTATCAAAACGCCTGCCATTTGAAATNATTTATTTATTTCAAATGGCAGGCGTTTTGATAGCTATCATTAGCCATTTAGCTGACTTCGGGCTTCACAGAGGGAAGGTTCATCAAAGTAGCAGAAAGTCGAGGGGGGGGGGGGAACAGAAGAGCGGTTCACAGATGTAAAAGAGGCAGACAGACATAAAGGTAGGGGAAAAAGTAAGATGAGTACTGTGGAAGTAGTCGACTATGACATACAGTGGGGTGATGGTAGTTTGAAGTCAGAAGTCAACTGCCGGTTAATAGACTTTTTTGCCGTATGAGTATACGTTGCCCAGGGTGCACCACGTGGAGGTAAGTCTATCGCACACCCCTTGCCTGGAAAGATAAATAATTGGTAATTTGGGTGTTTTTCATGCATTGAACTCTTATTGTCGCTTTTAAATGTGATTTCCCAAGTTAATGAGTCAATAATGTCAACTGTTTGTCAATACCATGTCAGAGCGCTTTTAAGCATCATTTCGAGAAGGCACTCATTTACAATTTACGGGAGTTCTCGTTGGTACGCCGAAAACTTCTTGAAGTTCATTCCAAATTTTGCCTGATATTCCGCAAGCTACTAAACCACATAAGCAGCAGTGGGAAAAAAGGAGGCCTCACAGTAATTTTGTCAAAGGTAATTATTTATTTGTAGCTAAGCATAACTTTATTTTTAAATGGGCATAATGCTCTAGATTACCACGTTTTAGTGTCGTAGCTTTACTTCTCAATTGGAGTTATCATTTTTTTACTTCCACGTAAATCCTCTTGAAGCTGTTTTACTATGAGTAATAAAATCTTACCATTAGCATATACTTCAGCGTGACAAGAGGCGTCATCATTACTAATAGGTTGATGGGACAACTTCGGACACGGTGATGAAAGGGTGCGAACTTGATAAAGTGGACTTAATTACCTTTATTCACACAAAAATTTGACGATAAGTCAAATTCATAAACCCTCTTATATGGGAAAAACGCTGGGCTTTACTGCGATAATGATAATATAGCCATTATTGAAGAAATTGGGGTGGTTAGATGAAGTGAGGCTTTGTTTTATGCAAGGCCCCTTGAATAGTCACGTTTCCTCTCGTTCCTTGTAGTGATAGAGAAGAACACGCAGCGTTTGGAGGCTGCCGAGGAACGAAGAAAGCGTCAGGAGAAGAAATTGGAATTGATTAATCAACTCTCTGCGGATATTTTCTCCCAGTGGGAAGTGCGCAACATCGCTTTTCGTACTCTCTTTGTCGATGAGGGTCTCACTATCTCAGCTTCTAGATCAAACAGTGGTCGCTCGACAAACACCCGACGCTCCCTGACAAGTCAGTCTGATTCCCATCAACAGGCGGAGGATGAACAGACCAAAGTACGAACTCTGCATGATAGATTCATGAAGAACGGTAAGTAGGCTTAGAACTGTGCGTGTGTTTGCTGATACGTTAAATAGACATTTAGTGCACTTCAATGGTATTTGTTTAATTCAATACATTGTTTAACTTGAGTGGTAAGGTGCCAGCTTTGGTAAACGGGTAGAGTAATCGGGCCTTGTCTTTATTACTGAACTTAGAAATTGCATCTACTGCGCCACAGCTTCTTCTTTTCCTAATTAATGGTAAAGTATAACAAATTTGTTGATCATGATTGTTACATCTCTAAATGCGCCATTCCATCGGACAGACAATAGGTCATGCTACCTGGACAATTAAGTTTACTGGCATGGTCTTCGGCATGGGTAGAGGCAACACGTTCATTCCAAGTCATGCGTCCAGTTAGCTGAATTGCTAATGGTCTTATTTGTATGTGGCACCGCACAGTCAGTATGTACGTCTGCCAAATTTAAGATCTCAATCAATGAAAGCCATGATTGGCAACAGCTCAGTTCAGTGAGGGCTGGCAGAATGTGAGCTTCTACTCAAGATGAATATTTCCATGAACTCTATTCTAGCGACATTATTTATTTATTTATTTCAAATCGCAGGCGTTTTGATGGCTATTATTATCCCTTTAATTGACTTCAGGCTTCACCGAGGGAAAGGAACATCAAAGTGAAAAAGTCGAGAGGGGGGGGGGGTGGACAGAAGAATGTTCCAAAGATGTAAAAGAGACAGACACGATGGCAGGGAAAAGGTAAGGCGGGTACTGTGGAAGCATTCGAAAATGACATGCAGTCGGGTCATGGTAGTTTGAATATGACATACACTGGAGTGATGGTGGTTTGGAGTCAGAAGTCAACTGCCGGTTAAAAGACTTATTGCCGTATGAGTATACGNTGCTACTTTGATGAACCTTCCCTCTGTGAAGCCCGAAGTCAGCTAAATGGCTAATGATAGCTATCAAAACGCCTGCCATTTGAAATAAATAAATTTTATTTTTATATCTAATGGTAGGTTTTATGATAGATATCGTTGGCACTTTAGTTGACTTCGAGCTTCACAGGGGGGAACGGACATTAAAACCACAACAAATCGAGAGGGGAACAGAAAAGCGATTTACCGATGTAAATGATACAGACACAAAGGTAGAGATAAGGTTAGGGCAGAACTGCGAAAGTAGTGGAATAGGACATAGAGTGGGGTCATGGAAGTTTGAAATCAGAATCAACTGCCGGTGTATAGACTTTTTTGCCGTATGAGTATACGATGCTCAGGAAGTACCACATGGAAGTAAGTCTATTTCTCTACTTAATCTATAACAACCGTTTTGATATTAACGAAATTCGTTTTCTTTAATATCAAATTTTTTCTTAACAAATTCATTCATCTCATATTTGTTCATCCTATTGTATTTTAATACAAATCCTGTTTTGAGGAGTTATCCATCGAACAAGTTATTCCTAGTTTTATATCAAATCTCCATTTGAACTTACGTCCAATCTTCTCCCACCCCATATTTGTATGAAACTTTCAAAAACACTTTTTATTCTCAACATATTCGAAGGAGACTTTACTAATGTTTTCCTAGTGGTCTGCTATTCGTAGTGTGTACTAACATTGCATATAAACGAAATATCATCGTACTTTGAATAAGCTTCAATAAAGACCTATTTCAACTACATTAAGCTTTATTTGTTCATCGGACAAAGTAGACTCCTCATTAGGCGCATTAAATTCGGATTCAATCTCCTTCGCCAATTTGACTTATGGGAGCAAAAATTTACTTATTTCAAATAGCAAGCGTTTTGATAACTATCATTAGCCATTTAGCTGACTTCGGGCTTCACAGAGGGAAGGTTCATCAAAGTAGAAGAAAGTCGATAGATAGGGAACAGAAGAGCGATTCACAGATGTAAAAGTGGTAGACAGACACAAAGGTAGAAAAAAGATGAGATGAGTACTGTGAAGGGGTCGAATATGACAAACAGTGAGTTGGTGGTAGTTTGAAGTCGGAAGCCAAATGCCGGTTAATAGACTTTTTTGCCGTATAAGTATAGTTGCCCAAGGTGCACCACGTGGAGGTAAGTCTATCGCACACCCCATGGGGGCAAAGATACTTTAATGCAATTTGAAAGGAAAGTCGATTGAGTTTCAACTAAATCTGCCAATGTCTAGAGGGCAGTACTCCTATCAATTGTTCGCCTCCGAAAAAACAAACTTGAATTTTCAGAACGTCTTATTTACTTTTCAATGCACCATCGACTTCTGCTTGTTCAAAGTCTGAATACATTGAAGTTAGAAAAGTTCGACCTACAACTCTTTTTTTAACAAAATTACTTCACCAAACATGATTTTATTGGCAAGGCCCACCAAAGGCGATAAGTGTGTCATGCATGATAAGTTAAAAAAGAATGATGTAGATGTAGTCTGATTTCTAGCAGTAAGATTTACATGTGTTCACTGCCAAACATCACGAAAAAAATAGGGCGAACATTTTCCTTAGATATTCCTGCCAAAATGCCTGATCAGAAAGCGTTGAAATAGTCGATTAAGTTCTTCTGCAGTTTGGTTCTCCTGACAAACATTAAACTCACCTCAAAGATGCAATAGTTTCCTCAGAAAAACTCTCTATTAAAAGCATAGCTTGATCTCAGGAATTTAACTTCAAATAAGCTCAAAACTACCTGAAGACACTTTGTCGTTCAACTTTTAAAGATCACAACGTTTTCCGGGTAATTTTTTAATCGAATATTGTTTCCTTTTATCGGGTTATTTTAATGCTCTGACTTTAATGGAGATAAGTATAAATTGAGAAAACTTTATTTACATCAAAATGGGGTATGTGATAGACTTACCTCCACGTGGTGCACCCTGGGCAACGTATACCCATACGGCAAAAAAGTCTATTAACCGGCAGTTAACTTCTCACTTCAAACTACCATGACCCCACTGTATGTCATATTCG